TGTCAAGGTCAAAGAAAAGTGTGCTATCATATTTGTAACAATGAAATTCAAGACAAGAATTTTAATCTCAAGCTTAGCAGTCACCAGAACATGTCAGAAAATCATGACCTCTCATTCTATTTCAAGAGATTTGCAAAAATATTACAAACAAAGAAGATATTCTAAAATGAAAATAAATATGTGAAGAAAGGGTAAAAGAGATGATTCTAAAGGGAAAAAAAAAAAAACAAAACAGATGCTACAGTGCTACTATATGAAAGACCATAGATAGAAAAAAAGAGAGGGGCAAAACAAATAACTTTTGTGGAACAGGAAAGCCAAAAAAATCAAGAATAAAAGACACTCTATTACACTATATCATTATTGAGGAAAAACAGCAAAATAAATGGAGAAACATCAGCCTGTTTTGAGAAATAAAACAAGAGTGGTGACAATGTTGGTTGCAAAATGGAGAGGGCTGATTTAAATGAAAATTCCCAATTGTTAACTGCAACTAGCAGAACTGAAGAAGAAGAAAATAAGACGGGCAAAGAAAATAAATTCTATCATGGTCTAAGAAGTCCGTTGTACAAATGGAGAACTGAAAACTAACTTTGAGACTGGAAATCTCCATCATGAACACTGATAAACGGGCAGAAGGGAAGACACACGCTAGAGACTGGATGTACTGTCGTAAGACAGGGTGCAACTCACACTGGACAATACGCTGGCTGGGCTGGTTAACAGAGCTTTAATTGACATTTGATGGGAGAAGTTACTGTACTTCTGAGTGAAAGAGAAGAGCCAGGGAATGCTGTCACTTTAGGAAGCAGAGGGGGAAAACCTCAAATTTGTCCCAGAAAAATGTGGGAAGGCTCCTCCAGGGAGGTAACGTGGCCAATAGCCCACCTGAAGTGCCTCTACACCAAAGAGTGCAACATGGGAAATACCAGAGTTGGAAACCACAGTGCAGTTACATAACTATAATGCCCTCAGCGTAGAAAGACATAAGCTGTTGGAGTGAGACATAAAACATAAAGACATGGAGATATTGGAGTGGGTCCTGAGGAGGCCCATGGAGATGATCAGAGGGATGGAACAGCTCTCCTATTAAGAAAGATTGGGGGAAGGTGGGCTTCTTTAGCTTGGAAAAGAGAAGGCCTTATTGGACCCTTCCTGTAGATGAAGGGAGCAAAAGGAAGATCAATTTTTTACATAGTCCAATCAAGTTAGGACAAGGGGCAATGGCTTTAAACTAAAAGAGAGGAGATTTAGGTTAGACAGATTAGGAGGTTTAGTAATGCAGAAATTCTTTATTCAAAGGGTAGTGAGGCACTGAAACAGGTCACCCAGAAAAGCTGTGGACCTACAGGTTTTCAAGTCCAGGTTGGATGGGGCCCTTGGGCAGTCTGATCTAGTGGTTGGCAATCTTACCCACAGCAGTGGGATTGGAACTAGATGAGCAAAGACAGGGTGCAACTCTGGTCACATCCAATCTAAGCCATACTATGATTCTGTGATTCTATGGTTATGGATATGTAGTGTATATTTGAATACCGACAAGCCAAAAAAAGAATTACATGAATGACACGTGTCAAGTCAGTAAGAAAATACACTATTTTGTGAAAAAAAGATGTGAAGCAAAGAGCATCTTACAACTATGAGATAAGTAGTCTTTCTAAGTAGGAAATATGCAAAGTAAAATGGACACAACAGTTAAAAAGTGACATAAACATTTTCCTAACATTCCCAATACGAGTGATTTTGTTACATTATGGTTACTACAAACTGTTAAAAATACATTTATTTTATAAACACAGAATAAAAGCATTGAGATATCAATATAAATTAACTTCCACTCTTTCATTTCAATGAGATTTGAAAATCTAAGGTACATGGAGTTAGAACAGTCCCTCGTCAAATGTATTGGTAAAATGCATTTTGTCCACATTATAACTGATTCACATGTGCACGTGTTTTGCAGCAATAATAATATGAATCTAACAGTCTTGTAAAGAAATGAATAATCATAACTGAAATTACTGGCAATCTAGAAATTAAGCAGAGTTCTCCATGCTGTTTTGGCAGGTCTGGCTAACTCTTACTATCAACATTTTTGTGTTTCACTGATTGTTACTTGGTCATGTCATAGTGAAAACTTCAGTTTCCATGGAATATGCTTGACTTTTTGCAAGGGAGGAAAACTACTTCTACAGTGCAGAAGAATGTGTACCTCATATTATTTCTCTATCTGTAAGCACTGTTTACATGCAAGACCAGTACACTCAGACTTTAAATTGTTTCTATTCCCTTCCAACCTACACATTTCTGGTGGAAGCTGCACTGAATGTAAGCGTCAAAGCAGAACTTCAAAAGAAGCAAATATAAGGCTTTAATATGCTTCAAAACAATAATGTGTAAAATGCATCAGCAGGCACACATTAATGACTTTTTTTCTCACTCAAAATAACAAAGTGTACTTCCATGTGGGGCAAGGTTGATTAAGGAGCTTATATAGCAACTAGTAAGTTACTTACAAAGCATGGCTGTTATGGAGAAGAAAAAAAAAAAGAACTGTTTAGCTTACTATGCCATAGACTGCAGCAGTTCAGCTCAAATTTTGACTTTTAAGAGTCATGTTAGCAAAGATTTTCATCCTGAGAGCAAGCAGAAATCAGTACAGCCCTCCTCATTCAACTGTAAACACTACAAAGTTTCTACCTATGTCTGCAGATGCCTACTCCTAGAACATATCACAGCAGAGAAGGAAGCCTGACAGGATGCTAACAAGTACAAAACTACATTGATACAACACTTTTGCTAAATATTCCAGCAAGTAGTGCTGCTTAAAAGTAAGGAATATAGAATAAAACAATGAAAAGTTGAATAGAGACCTAAGAAAAACAAAAGAACTGTAGAAATGGCATGTTGTAAAAATGGAACATGCTTCCCAGGATGAAGAGAACAAAATTCTATGAGGACAGGCTGAGGATACAATGACAGGCTGAGAGCTGGGGCTGTTCAACATGGAGAAGAGAAGGCTCCAGGGAGACATTATAGTGACCTTTCAGTATCTAAAGGGAAGGTTATAAGAAAGAACAAGACCGACTCTTTAGCAGCATCTGCCATGATAGGACTAGGAGAAATGGTTTCAAACTACAAGAGGGGAGATTTAGATTGGATTTAAGAAAGACGATTTCTAGAAGAAAGATGGTGAAGCACTGGCACAGGTTGCCCAGAGAGCTGATGGATGCCCTGCCCCTGGAAGACACCCAAGGTCAGGCTGGATTGGGTTCTGAGCACCTGATGGAGCTGTGGCCATCCCTGCTCATTGCTGAGAAGTAGGACAGGATATCTTTAATGGTCCCTTCCAACATAATCAGTTCTGTGATTCTAAGAACTCAATGAATGAGCATTCCAAATTTCTACAGTCTCACACTCACAAAGCAGGTATACTGCAGATTCTTCCCAATTGTTGCCTTGAAACTGTAGATTAAATCAGCAAAATCCAAATTAATCTCAAGAAAACTTATTTCAATCACCATCTTCATAATGTCTTATGGCAGAAAGCATCCTTCTCATAGGGACAATATAATTCTGAATCTGTTTAAACTATTTGGTGGTTGAGATGTTCACAACTGATTCTGACCTAAACAGGATCCTTCATGTCAGAGAAATCACTGTATTCAAGCCTGAAGAAAATTTAAAACTGTAATCATCACTTCTAAAAAAAATTCTAAGTATATTCACTAGAAACAAGACTGCATTTGATGGCATTCCACTCTGCGCACAATAGTATGAAAAGCTGCTTCATTTTCAGGTTTAGTGGGAAGAGAGAACAATTTCCCTGTGGCCTAGAACTTCTTAGATAATTATTATTGTTATTATCATAGGAGAGTAATAGAAAAGTAATATATTTCTAACGTGCTTTACTTACTATACAGGCAGCACAAAGACATGGAGCAGCATTCTGAATCACCTTCTGATGTTTTTGTTCAGTGAGCTCTACAAGAAGTTTTCTCCAAAGATTAAACTCAATTTTAGAATTAATTTCCTTCATCAGTATTCATGATTTTTGTTTGCATTTATTAAAATGTACATAGTAAAATGTCATTAGCATTTGTTCCAAGAACTGGTTTCTAAGACTTAGCTCCATCTAATGAAAATGAAAGACATTACCTAGGAGACCAATATTGTCCAAAATCTCAGAGTATTAAAAAAAGGGGGGAAAACAAAAGGATTTAAAAAAAAAAAAAAGGATTAAAAAAAAAAGGATTTTAAAAAAAAGGATCTGAGAGCTATGATTTCATACAATTAATTATAAGAAAAAAGGAAGAGCATTTGAAGAAAATACATTCTGTAAGAAGCTTTCACCTCTGGGCTGTCCTCTCAAGTACAATGGTACAATGTCACACACATAAGTACAAAATGTTACTTGTATTTGAATAACATCCAAATGGTTTGTTAAACAAAGCAAATACAGAAAGAAACATGAGAAGATAAACTGAGTAACAGGTCAGAAATGAATTGCGAAAAGCTTTCTAAGAGTAGCAGAGTGAAGGCTTGAACCAGGAGCACCATAGCTGAAGAAGTGACCTGACAAACTCAATGCACTGTAGTTTACTGAAAGAGCAAGGAAAGAAGGAAATCTAACTACTTGAAATACTGGTGACATGGTACAAATAAAAAGAAAACTGAAGAAGGAATGAAAGTAGCCCATTATAAGAGAAAAAAATATTGTACTACAGAATCTTGACAAATACTGAGACAGCAAAAGCTACAAAGTATAGGAAGATATATTAAATGTTTCAGACCATCACGCCAAATTTTACTGGCTTATTTAACTGAGAATCAAAGACACCAAAAGTGAATGCACAGACTAGAAATAAAAACTAAGAATGCTGCTTGCTATTAATAAAGATACTGGAAGAAATATCTTCATAAAAATAGATTTATCAATCTAAATCTAAAATACCTTCATTAAAAGCAACCCAGAAAAATGAATAAGCAGTCCTGCTCACCTGTCTTCACTAAAACGCCGACCAACCAAAATTTTACATTTGTCTGGAGGTAGACAAGCTGCTAGCAATGGCGCTGTCCTTAATACACGACTTTCCTGTAAAAAAAGAAAAGTCACTTTTGAGTAAAATCAGGGAGGGCTTCTGTGAACTGCTAACATTTCTATCCACTTTCAAGATCTTTGACTATGCATGGAGAACAAGCAACAGTTTGTACACACAGACACACAAAAATTAGTTTCATACATATTGTTTTTACTAAGAGTAAGAAATTTAGTTTTCACAGAATCACAGAATTGGCAGGGTTGGAAGGGACCTCAAGGATCATGAATCTCCAACCCCCCTGCCACATGCAGGGCCACCAACCATTCCACCTAATGCTAGACCAGACTGCCCAGGGCCCCATCCAATCTGGCTTTGAACACCTCCAGGGACGGGGCATCCACAACCTCCCTGGGCAGCCTGTTCCAGTACCTCACCACTCTCTCCGTAAAGAATTTCCCCCTGACGTCCAACCTAAATCTCCCTTCCCTCAGCTTAAAACCATTTCCCCTTGTCCTGCTGTCACTCATCCTTTCAAAGAGTTGATTCCCCTCCTCTTTATAGGCTCCCTTTAGGTACTGAAAGGCTGCAATGAGGTCACCCCGCAGCCTTCTTTTCTCCAGGCTGAACAAGCCCAGCTCCCTCAGCCTGTCCTCATAGGGGAGGTGCTCCAGTCCCCTGATCATCTTCATGGCCCTCCTCTGGTCCCTCTCCAACAGCTCCCTGTCTTTCTTGTACTGGGGGCTCCAGACCTGGACGCAGTATTCCAGATGGGGCCTCACAAGAGCAGAGTAGAGGGGAACAATCACCTCTCTGTCCCTGCTGGCCACCACTCTTCTGATGGAGCCCAGGATCCCATTTGCCTTCCGAGCCGCAAGGGCACACTGCTGGCTCATGTTAAGTTTTTCATCTACCAAGACCCCCAGATCCTTCTCCACAGGGCTGCTCTCAAGGACCTCTCCTTCCAGTCTGTAGGGATGCTTGGGATTCCTCCGGCCCAAGTGCAAAACTCTGCACTTTGCTGTGTTGTAGTTTTGTCCTAAACTAGGACCATTAGCAAGAGCTTGAGCTAGGTTATCAGTAACAAAAGCAAAAATACGTGGAATAATAACAAAATGTAGCCAAAAACAGCATTAGCATTAACATAACAGGTTGGAGCATTAATTTCTCTACGCTGGAAAACAAGAGGAGGGCTTGGTTTTCACAGACAAACGCTAAAAAATATGATCAAAAGATGTGTCAAAATGGTGTTAAACATAAATGTCTCCACTCTGTTACCAGTTCACAACAGCACAGTAGCACAACATTGAAGCTGCCGTTAAGTGCTCTATCTCCTGCCATTTGGTCTGTGCAGAGCAGGCATCTGCCTACATCTCTGTTGCAGATAAGAAGATTGCAGATAAGAAGATTGGCTGGGGGGGGGGGGGGGCAAAGGCTCTCCAGATCTCAAAGAGCATGCAAGAGAGCTGTGCTGGACTAAGGAATGACTGCTTCACAAGACACAGGAAGAGGGAAGAACTGACAGGTGGAGCAAACCATCTACATACTAACCAGAGAAATTTGTTTCCATATGCAATGTAACTCACTGTTACCTAGACAAGAAGCATTGAAAATTGAGCTAGAATATTTAGGATATCTTCAGTAAATGTTAAGAGTAGAGAGAATGTGTCAATTTGTGTTTCCAGGCAAAGAAGAGGGAGCAAAGGTTTATCTTGAATTTAATGGAAACAATGCTGAAAACTGAAAGATGAAAATAAGTTTCAGTTTATTTTTTATAACAAGACGAACAAAGATGTACAGTAGCTGAACCTAGCTGAAGTCTAGACACTAGAGACTGCATTAGGATTACAAAAACCCAAAACACTTAATGTATTCTCAATTTCAATATCTTACAATTCAGAAACTGAAAATCCAAAGTTCAGTCCCTAAGCCACAAGATTAATTAATAAAAAGCCAGGTAGTTGATCCATTTTTTTTTAATATATGAGTCATATGTCAACAGTTCAGTATTTGCAAACAAGTAATGCCTTGACTAGATCAGCTCCATGATTACTGTGGCTCTTACTCTCCACAAGTACCAATGTGCAACCAGCTATAGCCCTTACATCTTCAAACTGCTCTTAAATTAGTTCTGTGAAACTTCATGTCACTGTTGCCTAAAACCTTCAATAATTTTGCTTTTTCTGCTCCATACCTACTGATTCTGTGAAGTATAAATAAAACACCACAAAGTTAAAGGAATAAGTTGCCCTGCTATATGCACCACCACTTTGCACTGCAGTAGCAGTATGATATGTCCTAGGGATAGATGAAGATCAAAGTATCTGGTGAATGAAGTGCAAGAAAAGTGAGGGAGAAATATCCTTCAAACTACCATCAATTACTATCTTGACAAAGCTGAATAAGTCACCATTGGTAGTACAAGATCATAAACACCCTGATACACACAAATGTAAAAGCAGCAAGAAAGGAACCAGAAGAAAATTAATTCTTTATCTCTAATAAGCAAAAATTTAAAAAGCTTATCAGTCATGGGAAAGCCATTCAATCATTCTCTTCAATGTTGTATTATTTCAGAATTACCTTTCACCAAATAAATGCATTCTCTTACCAACAGGGAAAAAGTTGCAGTTTTCCAATCTAAAAGCCAATCTATGTTTACAAGAAGATATAATACAAAATTCAAAACTGGAAAAGGAGCTTAAGAACAGCTAAACTACCTCAAATGTTCCATTTGTTTAGAATTTGCATCACAAAAGTGCCTGTACTTAGCTATTTCATATACAGCCTGTTAGCATATCAGCTATTTTCCATTTTCTGCTTTGAAAGAGAATAGTTAATGGCTCCTTTGTTCTTCTCACGATCATAAATTGAATGTTTATCCATTATTTAACCACTGAAATATATCTATACAAATAGGTTTGGAGAAGTTGCTTTTAGATTGCTTTTTTCCTTTTATGGGAATTCATGATATTTTTTGGTAACACTGCAGGGGCGTTCTACCAGGAACAGAAAGTTCTAACTAATAAAAACATTTATTTGAAAAGGTCAATATACTTCATTTTCTCCTCAACTTGTAAAACAATTAGCAAATTATATTTTAGACTTACCATTCAATAAAGAATGTTGTTAGATACAAGCTCACTAAATACACATTTTCTTTACAGGTGCAGAAAAAATGAAAATTCTTACAATTCTGGAAAGAAAGAAGGCAGAGAAACAGAACAACCTAAGCAGATACTTTCTGCTGTGGTCTAAGGGCTCTGTCCTGAATTATAACCACCACCCAAGCTCCAAAAAGTATACAGTGGCCTATGCTCCACTGCAGATCACTCCATGGACAATAAGGCAGAGGTAAGAAAAAGCTGCACAGCAGTTTGTACACACCTGACTATGCCACTGACCATCAGGACTGCAAATGAAGGCATGGGAGAGAAAAAAGATGAGAAAAGCAATTTACCTACTTGTATTTATTTATATTCCTATGTATGTGGAAAGAAGAAAATAGAAGAAATCATGCTAGGCTAATAGATTCTTCACTGTTCCACTATTCCTGCTGATAGGGTTAGAATCTTTGGTTTTTATCTACTTTATTTTTAAATTACTCTCATTATTAACAGCAGTGCACTAGCACTATTCCAAAAACATTTGCACCTAGACATGCAACGCTGAATTATCTTCACAAATGAAACTTGAATTAATCCATGGATCTATTATGCAAAGATGAATGCTGGATGGTAAGACTTATAACCTGGGATCTTAGAGAATCCTTGCTGCCATGCATTAAGGGACTACTCTCTTTCACTGCACCCAACATTTGTGTGAATGTATCCAACAGCATGCCTTCTCAATCAAAGGACTGTGGAGGAGCAGGAAATCCTGCTCTCACTTTCATGCCTTACCCTCTTGCCCAAATATAAGTCACAATGCAATAATCACCCCACAGTTGGTGGTCTACTTACTGCACTGGAAACTGCAAAAACCAATAAATAACAAAACAGGTGGAGGATGAAAGTCATCACTGATGCACAGCAGGAGAAATACATTCTCTGTTCGGTTAGTTTAATGATACTTCTGAAATGTACTTCTGTAATGACATGGCAGCCTGAAGGATCAGATGCTGTTACTACATTCAAAAGGTTTATCTGCCTTGAAGTCTGACTGAGTTTTGATTAAAAGCAGCTACTGCAAAGGGAACCTACCCTTTAACAGATATGCCTCTGCCATTCTGGTATCAGAAGAATCACCTGTGATCAACTAAGGTCATCATAAGCCACGTTCTTAGCTTTTCAGCTTTTGTTTGGATTTGTCTCCTGCAAGCCAAGTTCCCTTTTACAGTCAGATAGTTAATTTTTTCTGCTCTGATGTCTTTGTTACTTGGATAGCACTGTTTTAACCACTTGTTTCCATTAACATATACCTGTGCAACAGTTGCACCCTCTTGTAACAGAAAGCTGCTAATTAAACCTAATAAAAAATGCAGATAGAATTTCAGAAGGATGATCAGGGGATCTAAAAAGACCATGTAAACTTGTTCTAGTACTTTTCAGCACAATACATTCCATACAATTCAAATATCAGTTCAAAGCTCCCTGGCACATCTTGCTACTTCTTTTTTTTCCAGCAGATAACTTAATGTGACACATGCTTAAGTACTTTCAAGATAAAAAGTAACACATAACAGTATTTTTACTAAAAACAGTCAGTTAAAAACCACAGCTTTCCCATTTAGGGACTAAACACTTATTTCTCTAGACACTTTTCTCTAATTTGATCATTTATATTCTGCTGAAGTTCCTTCAAGCAAGGACTCTGCCTGTAGACTGAGCTACTGTACGTACAGCTGGATCATAAGAATATGGGTTCTGAATGCCACAGTCTATTTTGTAAAAATACTGTCTATCCAGATCTGTGTAACTGTGGTTCATCTTCTAAAATTTGTGATCCAGCATAATACTGCATTATTAACAGAAAATAAAACATCAGTATAAATGCCTGTAATAGCTAAATCAAAAATCAAGAGCCCATTAAACCTTTGAAGACATGAAATAGGCAAATTCATAAAAGGATGAATTGTATCAAGTCCAATGCCAGACACATTTCAAAGCCACCCAGAGTCTCTGAAAAGCAGAAGTACCTTTACCAGGAAATGCAAACTGCAAAGAAAGCTGCTCCTTCAGTGGTTCTTTCATGTGCTTCACTTCAATAAGTGAAACAAACAAACAAAAAAAAAACCCAAAAAAATCACAGAAACAGACTATTTTGAAACTAAACTATAGATTTCCATTAGCTAAATACTTTGAGTCACTACCAAGATGCATTGCTTAATTCATATTTATAATAGATTGCTTCTGTGTTGTATCAAGATTCCCACCCGAAACAGTTTGTGCGAAGTCAAGCAGACCTCCAAATCTAGGAGGATTATCTGAATAAAAAAAGATGTTTTGCGTATATGAAAACCACAGAAGTCAAGCATGTTATCACAATAATTCAGATGAACTGGTATCTCAGCTCTCTGATTTTAAAGGAAAAATTACTATGTGTTAAAAACATGATTGCTTCCTTTTGTAGGCCATTTGCTGCACTAAGATGGTAGCTGAACTCTTACAACAACTTTACTCACCTCTGCAGGATGCTGAATTATATACAAGCAGGTGGAGATTTTTAGTGGATGTATCGGCAGGAACGGACACAAACACACCTTCTGAGGGCGGCTACATGACAGAACAGAGGGGGGAAACAATAAAATTAATCAGCAGTGGAATAAATATATTGCACCAATCCTTACCCTGTCCCAAAAGGGCCACTAAGGCCTCCCCCTTATGAAACAGCATGTTGAAACATGATAAAAACTTGTTTGAAATTTCTGCTGCTTTTAAAATAGAAAGAAAGGAAGGTTTTCATTCAAAATGAATTTTGAAAACATTGTTCAGACCTCTCCCATGGTTTGGCTAGCATTAAAGCACTTTCATAACCATTTCATCACCTTCAGGAGGAGCAACCATACCACAATTATATAAACCTGTTACTGCATTTTATATCAAGTTAGTGTTTCAATGATGGAATGCTGTAACAGAATATATAATTAATATAGTTGAAAACCTATTCAAAACAGAGCATTTTAAAGTATACTTACAACAAACCCCAAATACGCTGTATTTATGATCAAGTTTTTATTATTTCATTCATTCTGAAACGCCAGCAGACAAGAAGTATGAAAACAAACAGCATCATGCATTTCTAACTGAAGTCTGAAAAACTAACACAACTATTTGAAGTTTTTGGTGCACTGCATGCATCGTTAAAATTACTAGGGGAGAATGGTATTCAAATAAATTAACCTACATATCATTTGGCATTAAGCTAATATGCTGAATAGTTAAGAGTAAACTGAAGCAAAGAATTAAGCTTAAAGCTGCACAGAATCACTGAAGTTGTTACGGAATTCACGCAATTACTGGATGTTATTCAGGAACTTGGAAAAACAATGGACTTCCTTAACGCTGATGTGATTATCATTACTCACAATTCACAACGCCTGCAAAACAAACTTTCCAAGATTAAGAAAATAAAGTTGGGATTTTCAGCTGAATCCAAGCAACTCCAAATACAACTCGACCTGCAGCCTCCTCCCTGTTTTTGTCGTTAGCAATGTTTACGTTGATCACACATGAGAAAACATAAGCAGCCACTGTAGCAGATGTGATGTGTTGAAGTTAATTCTCAGGTCCAGCCAGCCCCACTGACACTGCAACGCTTGCCCACAAGAGCAGTCCATTAAGCAAGCTCAGTGATCTAAGCCAGCATAACTGTTCTTTACTCAGATCATCTTAAAATAAAACATTAGCTCTTACCTGTAAATGGCAATGCAGTAAAAAAGGCAATAACAGTGGATAAATTGGTCTTTAACAGCTTGCAGGTTGTGATAATTTAAGACCCCTGCCTCTTTCTAGCCTAACTACTGCCAAAGAAAGATTACTTTCCCTTGCCAAGGGGAACCAGTTAAAAGTTATCTAACAACAGCCAAAATCTGAACTGGGCATGAGATAGGAGGGGAAGAAATTGCTACTGATCAAAGAAAGTATTTTAAAATATTTACATCAAAAAGCTCATGAACAAAAAAAAAATTGACAAAATGGAATTATTCCCATATGCTCTTCCAATATCATGCTCCAAAAACCTGCCTTCTTTCTTTCCTTTCCATTTCTACAGCTGGCATTTTCCCCTTGATATGCCTCCATAAATATGGAGGTATAAATTAATTATAAAAGGTTTTGAAAAAAAAAATGAAGAGCTCACTAGCTTCAGCATTCAGAGGGTTCTAGCAATGGCCTTCACTCTGAACCACAGGAAACCAACCTAACTTCCAGATCTGACGAGTTATGTCAGAGGATCTCCAATGCTGTGACAGTACCTTTCTTCCAAATTTTAATCTTCTCATGTAGATAATTTAAGCAAACACATCTGCGAACAGTTTCTTAACAACCTGGAGGCAGCAGATACTCCCACAGGCTTTTTGATGCCTGCCCCCAGGGCACTAAATAAAACTCATCCTCTTTTGATCAACATATTCACTCGTTTCGCACAAAGTGTGATCCCTTAGCTTCTCCTCATTATTGAAATGAAACCATCCCATACCTGGTTTCATTAGCAAGAGAATTCTCCCCATGACTGTATTTTCTTTTGAGGAGAGATTAGGATGTGAAAATCTACTACATAAAGGTACCAAAACAGTCAACTGGTGACTTCGATACAAAGAGCTGCATTGTTCCCTAGCTTTTATAAACAGGCAGAAACAGTTTCTGATGGTTTCTGACCTCAGGGTGTTTACCATTACAAAGTCGGACAGATATAATTTACTTGTTTTCAAGTCTCCAAGTTTCCTTTTTTCTGGTATGGGCTCTTTGTATTTTCTGTGGCTGGCTCATGTTCTTCATGGGTTGTTTTTTATCATTATTAATGTTGTAAAAAAAGAAATTACTCCAAAGGCAATCATTTCTAAATCATCACAGAATCAACCCTACCTATACTTTGATTTGTAGGGAGCAGAGCACACACAATTACAAACAGAATATTTTCCAGTATAACTTAATGGCATACATATGTATATACATTACTTTCAAGTACTCAATTAGGTGCCTAATTATGTTGAATGGGTAGGGTACTTTCACAACCCCATCCTAGGAGCACAAAGACTTATTTCTGTACTCTCACTTTGGTACACAACGGTTGTTGTGCTGAGATAAAAACAAACAAACAAAAAAAAAACACTTTATCCCTACATGAAATCTACATTATGAGTCTTTATCAGTAAACATTTAGGAAACAGTTCTTAACAGGAGAAGTCCTGTCCCACTACCACAAAAGCTGTCTTTACTCTCAGAAAGGCCACCCAGCTTGAAAAGGCTTTTTGTGTTTTTCTTCTGTTGAAAGCGTGTGCTATGTCTTGTGCAATGTATGGCACTGATGTTTCAGAAGAGCAGGGGCAGAGCACCAGGGGACTCAGTTAATGACAACTATAAGTATTCATCCATTTCTGGAAATGAAAGCAATCTGCACCAGACTCCAGGCAAAACAGCAGTACTGAGAATATTATGGAAAAGCCCAGGGGTAGGAAGAAAAATTCGAAGGAGAATAATTTTTATGGTAATATTCACCTGTAAGCAATTTCACTATAGCTCAAAGCTATCCAACATCTTTCTACCTGTTTCTCAGCATTTCTAGTTTAAAAACTCATGACAAAGCAAGCAGACATACTGGCAGGATTCAAAAATTATTTTCTGTCTTCACATACAACAGAGAATCATGTGCTGAAGTCTCATAGCTTTGCTTTCATTCTTCACATCTAAGTTATAATGTTCAGCTTCAAAATAACGTGGTCTATTTTCCCAACAAAACTGAAACAAGACAATGGACTGTGCATTGTGATTACTAGTTTCGGGGCAAAGGTAGTCTAGAAGTGAATATCACAGAATCACAGCATCATTACGGTTGGAAAAGACTTATAAGATAATCTAGTCCAACCATTAGCCCATTACCACCACTGACCACAAATCAATGTCACAAAGTGCCTCATCTCCATGTTTCAATGGTTCTCAACACAGTCTTCAAAGTCTTCTTCAAGGCTTATCTGAGGAGTAGTAAATATAGCTGGTTTTCAGCTGCAGTGTTGTCCATTACACTTGATGCATAAAGTGGTCACATGTTAAAAGTCAAGCTAATTGTGCATGCTGTTGACTTTTATCTGTAGCTGACAATCTGTAAAGGCAGTACTGAAAAATACCTTTGAGTTAGGCTTTTCACGATTCAGTTTTAACATATGTCAGTAGTTTAAGGAAGATAAGTGGAAAGAAACCCCTCAATTACCACTAAGATTGTTACTGTGAGTGGAGTGGCTTTGAGGTCTCTTATCTGGAGATTACAGTACTTTATTTTTTAATATTCTGCCTGTTTTAGTGGAACATCATTCCTGAATTCATAAGAAGAAATACTAAGGAAGAATTTACTACAAAGGGAAAAACATGAGAGTAAGAGTTGTTTTAGCACACGTCATGCACAGACAGCCAACATAGAGGTATGTATCCATGGATGTATCCTAGTGCTTCCAGCAATGCGTGCAGTGCCTCTCCTTGGGACTAATCTTCATCTATACCAAAAATGCAAAGACAAATTCACAATAGCTACAGGTCTGCCAGCCAGGATGGTGGGAGTTTGCACAGACGGAAACCCAAACATCTGCCATCTGGCACCTCTTTTAGACTGCTTTCCAGTCTACTGGCTCCACCAAAATTACAACACAGACATAAACACTGCTGATTGGAGGAAGACTATGAAATACACTGAACAAAAACAAGACGAAGATACAAGAGAAACAGAAAGCATATCTTCCAACTGGCTGATTTTTGATTTCCACTCAAGTGCTGAGTGGCCCAGCAACCATGCCTCTGCCACACATTGGAGCTGCAGGGCTTCACCCGAGTGAAAAGGGTGGTAACTGAGACACAGGAGAGAGGGCAACAGGTCTCTATGGCTTACAGTGTGTGAGGAGCATAATGCAACAAAGACTGAGGACAGTGATGGTATCTCACATTTTTAAGTGAATATATGAACAGCAACTAATGAAAGCAAAAGCACTTACAGGATGGGGAAAGCAAAGACACCTCTAGAGAGCACTGCGAACAACAGCTAGAAACAAAAGGTTACCGAATGTAGGTAGGAGAGTTCACATTCCATTTCTGGAGACTGAAAATGGGAGAGTTAAACTCCCAAAAGCAGAGACAAGCAAATCTGGTCCATGAGAAGAGGGACATAAATAGGTTCATTCCCACAGCTCTGTCGAGTGCACGTAAATGGCACTCTAACCCTGGTGTTACTTTCCACTGTCAGGGGTCCTACTGCAATATCAGGGTCAACTCCTCATTAAGAAAGAAAAAAGAGGTACAATTTTTAAATGCCAGGGTTTCTTCCCTGTGATAACACTGCACAAATGCAATGCCACACTGGTACATGAAAAAGTCTAATCAATAAAAACATTTATTATGGAGTTTCAGGAACAGAGATTTTACCCTGTGCATATCATAAAAGTAAAAAGAAGTCAGATCATATGCCAGTCTAGTCTGGCAGTAGCAGTGCCACTCAAGCCAGATTTTTCAGCCTGGTGTCCTTAGGCAGGGAAATCAAACAGCAGGTACTTTGTGTTACAACCAGCTTTAAT